CCATCTCGAAACAGAACTACTGCGAGATGAACCCTTCTGGCCGAGCAAGTCTCAGTCAATCCCTCGCCCCTCAACACGCACTCTAGTACGCCCCGGAAATTTAGGTAATGCTCCACGAAACTCCTTCACCCTTTCCAAGCCCTTGCACGTCGAGTTCGATAAGGATACCTGCTGCGAAGCAAATTTCTCCTTCGCAACCCCTTAACACAAAACGATCCGGGTAGTTACTCACCCCTTGACGACCTCAGCGCCTACCCACACCCACACACTCGCTCTCACAACGCCTTACCTGGCCCCATTGTACGCTGCTATCGCTCTCTCCGCCCCCGCCTTCACCCCTTCCCCACCAGGGATGCTGACGTACCCAAACCCGCGCTCGATGCCCGTGGATGCGTCGCGCATGATCTCGGCTGTCGGCGAGGCTGTCCCTGGCGGAAGGGTGCGAGCGATTAGGGCCGCCAGCTCGTCCGGGTCAACCCCGCGTGCCAGCCCGCCAACTGTTTGGGGGGGGGAGGGAGGGAGGGAGGGAGGGAGGGAGGGAGGGAGAGATGGACAGAGCGAGAGAGAGAGAGCGCGCGAGAGCGCGAGAGGGCGAGAGAGAGAGAGAGAGAGAGAGAGAGAGAGAGAGAGAGAGAGAGAGAGAGAGAGAGAGACAGAGAGACAGACAGAGGCAGAGACAGAGACAGAGACAGAGGCAGAGAGAGAGACAGACAGACAGAGGCAGAGACAGAGACAGAGACAAAGACACGGGTAGAGACAGAGAGTAATGTCGGCGAGAGTACTTGTAGCCAGGCCTGCATGGGGTGCGCAACGTGCGCCAGGCCGTCTCGATATCAGGAGAGGACTGCCGTAAGAAAGACTACGACGACTACGGTCAGTGTCGCTCTACGACAGTACACAAGCCTACAGCTACGTACTACTTCACTGTCAATACAAGCAGCAGCAGTGAGTCCCCTCGGCAGTCACAGCAACTACTGTAAGTGCGTCTCCAGCCGCGTGGTCTGAAGCCGTTCTTATTCCTCCACGGTCTCTTTGAACAGCAGTCGATTCCTTCCCAACTAACGCCACCCGTGGGTTCGCGAACCGCCACCAAGCATGCAGACATGCAGACATGCAGACCTTCGCTACACCAGCACCAGGTAGTGCACCACATGAGCTCGGTAGGTAGACCATGCAAGCGACCATTGCACTACTAGGTCAAGTATTACCAAAGCAGGCTGACAAGCGTTTCACGCTACGAGCTAGTTAACATATGTACACGTAAGATTTGGTCACTTTTCATGCTTCGGCGGTTCTTTCTCTCACGGCAGCGAGTCTTTTCTCGCGGTTCCTTCGCAGGGGAACGCAGGAGGCTCGTCGGTACATTAACGCCCTTGCCCGGAGCTCGGGAGGCCTTCGTGGCGCGTGTGGTTGACGGCCAAAGTTGCGAAAACTGGCTATAAACCCCGGGGAAGCGTTCCGCGCTGACAAAGCCTGGCGAACCAATTCTGAAACCTATCAAACCCATCAAATACGACGGTTTGAAATATTTGCCTTTTGCTTCTCCACTTTCATTCATTCATTCATTCATTCATTCATTCGATGATTCATGGCTGTGACTCTTCGTGTCATAGCATTGTCCAGCAGCAGTAGCTACGTTCACTACACTTCGCAGCGGGCCAAGTATAGACAAGTCTGAGTGCATGCATCCAGCCGCCGTGTTGAACGCGTCCCATTTGGGGTGTTGTTTCGGATTCAAATACATTCGGTTCTCGTTGGAAATAATAGTCTATGCCATCATCAATCAAAGACATCATGGAGGTCTGAATTTCCGCTGCCAAAACATTGTCCGCTCGAGCTGGCTCCAATGTAGAATAACAACGTGCGCCATGATTTGTTCGGAAATACAAGCGTTGTAAGGCACACAGTCCCTTTTCGGGCAATGCGCGTGTGATGTTGCGTTGTTACCTGAGGAGGGTAGACAACCCACGTCTCGAAGGGAGACCTTGTACTCTGTATCTATACCTTTCCCCCAGATGACGGAGAGTTACGAAGCCGGCACATGGACAGGGATATTCTACGAAGGTACCTCTGCATAGGCATTAGAATAAGTACCAACACAGAAACACAGAAAGACTACCCGTTCGAGGTATACCCACAGCAGTAGCACGGGATCGTTGGAGTCTTGCCAGTGAGTGAAGGAAATACAATAACATGGGAAACCGTAGACATACAGGTAGCCTTTCGCTCACGCTATGGATTCATTGCTAATCTATCTTCGACTTATGCATATTTCCATAGATAGAGATGGATTTGTTGTGTGATATTAAGAAAAAAAAAAAAATGCCGCGAAGGGCAGACATGTAGCATTTTAAACTCGGTGGCTGCCGGCTGTTCGCTGATGATGCACCGCAATCGTCATTTTTGCGAGTTTCGTCTACACGGCAAGCAGTGCCCGCCGCCAACCCATCACAATCAGCGCTCCATACGTGCCAGGTAAACAATGCAAGCACAGGGCTACACTGGTAAGGTCGGCGGAGGCTCCCACAGGCTAGCATTTGGAGAAACTCGGAGGCGGTGCAGGCTACACAGCGCCACAGCTGGCTCTACAAGAACACGCAGCCTTCAGCGGCAAACACGAAAGCCTTTCGGTCACGACTTCGTGCTCAGCTCACCGTGGAGCCTGACCCCAGCATCGTCTCCTCGCTCTGCAGTCATAGGCCCGTACTCGTCCTACATCCATGGGTTGGTTTACCTCTCACGGTGCTGGGGTAGATCAACTCGGCGTGGAGGCACGACGAAGTGGAATATCAGCGGGGGGCGTGGTCTAGTCGCCGGGGGGGCATAATACCATCTCCGCCTCTGGCCTGCCCGTGCAGGCGCTCGCCGCAGTCCGATGCTCTGCTGCCTCATCACACACCAAAGGGACCCGGGAGAGAGGACATCTGGTGTGGATATTTGATTCCCCCACCACTAGAAGGCTAGTATTTCTACGCTTGCCTGGAGCCAGACAGCAGACAGGCGTGGCCGTCGATTTAGCCCCCGCTTTTGTAACGGCCAAGTTTCAAATCAGAGACACCTCCGTTCTGCTGCTTCACCAGGCTACAACAGCAGTAGGTGGTGCATATCTCGACAAAGCAATTGCTGGGGCTCAGGAGGCAAGCTTAGGAAGGCAACATGCCCCGGCGGTACAACGAAGCCGTCCACAAGGACAGCGTTGGGGCTCTACTGCAGAGGCAGCCGGTTGGGACCGGTGGAAATCATGATCGAAGGTGTGTCCGACTGACTACTACTGTCGTGAGGGTGGTGAATAATGCAAGCACGAGCGTCGGCGAGAACCAAATCGTCGCTGCTGCGCTGAGGATCGGTGCAGTGCGTAGTTCAGTGGTCGCTGCAAGGGCGGCTCTGTTGTGTTGTGTCCAGTCGCGAAGCGGGCAAACGCTTGGAAAACAAAAACAAAAACGCACAGGTAAAGATTGGATCTTGGACGAGTGTTTGCTTCGTACTGCTGTTATTGTACTGCTGTGTAAAGGCAAGACCACCAACAACAGCAACAGCTGCTGTACTATGTAGGTCACAAGCTGTGTTTCTTGTTGGCAACTAACTCTCCGACGTTTGGAGAAACTCGGAAAGTGTGTCAAGGTCGCAGGTCGAAACACGAAATCAAACACAACGAAGAGACCGACCTCTCAACACTGCCAGAGTCAGTGTTGCTGTACCCGACTTTTGATCGAGTGTAGCTGCCGCCGTGTTTCGCTGCACCACTGCTGTCGTTTGTGTATGACCGATGCGGGGGGGGCGGGGAATACTCGACCGCGGAAGGCACCGAGGGGGCGGCTCCGCTGTGAAGAACTACCGTTTGGACAACAGGGCGAACATCAAGGAGATTCAGGCGCAAAACCGGCAGGCGAGAGTCCACACGTTCTGCCAAAAGCAGACGAAGAGCACGCCCCCTCCCCCCCCTCGGAGTATCACTTCAGCCGGAGGTCCAATCCAGTAGGAAATATTATTGTGTCGTTTTCGTCTTTGGTTTCGACACGGCGTGCTTCTTCTGGACCTGCCGTGGGTTTGACCCCCCATCCCCCCGGAATTTCGCCCGCTTCCCTTAAGAGCGAAAACCCTCTTAACCCACGCTTGCTGGATGTGGGTCCGTGCGCACCATATACCCTGCTCCCAAGCGGGAAAGCACCGGAAGAGCTGCTGCTGCGCCCCCTTTTTTGAGAGCTCCCTAGCATTGCCTAACTTTGTCTTTGAAAGTCTTTTCTCCTTTCGCATGGCGACCCGTCTCTCCGCTGCACGCCGAGCCCGCCATGCATGGACGTGTCTGCTCGCTTGATCAAATGTGACGTCCTGCCTCCTCTCGCCCCACCTTCTGAACCCCATCGTCCTGAGCAGCGCGTGCCGTATGAACATACGCCTACACGTAGCACTTGTGTTTAGTGTATTGTTTCACCCGACATTATTCTGAGCAGCACGTGCCATAAGTAGTATACGCCTTCAAGCAGCAGTGCCTTTAGTGCAATAATTCCCCGAAGCGCCATCTGAGCAGCACGTGCCACACGTAGTAGTACACGCTCCAAGTTTACCACGTTCAGGTTGGCGTCGCAAAACGAGAGCGGGGTGGTTTGACGGGCGCGTTTCGTCCGCACAGTTGGGCCCGAAACAAAAACCGGCGTCCGTCCGTATTTACGCGCTCCGCGTTGTTTGGCCGGTTTTCCGGGGTCCGCAGCGGCGGGAAGAGGAGGCTGCACCTCCGGCGGAGCCGTTCAAGCTCCGGCAGTTTAAGAACGTCAAGTCCAGATTCGCCTCGGAGGCTGCGACGGGAACGGGGACCTCCCAGGTACATCAACGGTAACACTGTTAAGTATTGTTTTCTTTTTGGACTGCCTTCGCAAGCAGAGTAAGTCTATTACGAAACAAGACCAGGCGGGGCAGGCAAAGAAAGCAAGTTCATCACGAAAAAAGACACGGGAAGGGGCACACAGACCCTAACCCTGAATCCAGCTTGGCTGATTCTATGCCGTGCCCAGTATGTTTGCTTACTTTGAGCAACCTGCTTAGACTATTGTTGTTGGCAAGCTGGATGTTCTGTAGGGGAAGCTTCGTGCGGGGTCGGCTGTGCTTAGGGCGCCAGTTGTGCTTCTATGCACCGCAAATTGACGTAGGCATAAAGAGTCTCGCTTGGACACCTGTGGTGCAAGTGGCATGCAGTAGACCTCCATTCTCAGCAACAGCTGTGCTCGCGCAAGACACAGCGTGAACGCACGAACCTCCCGTCCTCTCGAGGCCGCGTGGTCAATGGTCTAAGCTAGGGCATGCCAAACATAAGAGTATGCCCGCCCCGCCCCCCCCCTTTCTTTTTTTTTTTCCATCATGGGATGTGACAGCAATGCTGTTGTGTGCGTGCATGCTTCTCCTTTTTTTTTCTTGTGTTTTTTTCTTCTGTTTTTTTTTCCTTTCATGTGTGGCAGGGACCAAAGACGAAGACGCCCGGGTGCGGCGAGAAGACACCCCCGGCGTCACGCGACTTCCTCCGAAGAGGCACACGAGAGAAGGTAGGTCCAGCAATACACCGTCACAATACGGAAGGGGAACGGGTGGAGTGACTTGTTGCGCGCAAAATCCGCTCTTCTCAACTTGTTGTCGAATCTCTGCTCCTGTGCAATCTATTGCTCACGGGGTTGCCGGGCGGCCTCTTGCATTCCGTTCGCCTTTTGCTGGCCCGTCAAGGAGCAGCACCCCGCAAAGCGTGCATCCGGCAGGATCCCTTCTCCCACCGAAATCAAAGGCCATCATAACCACCCTGCGGTTGGCGTACCGACAACCCCCCACGGTGCATGCACCACACTGCCGTCTTTCTCCCACAACTTCCTCCCGGAAAGGAAAGGGCAAAAAGAGATAGAAAGAAGAGGCATGTCTACCATGTTTTCCCTATCGACCCCTCTCCAGGCCCACGCTTCCACCATCAAGACACAGGAAGGTACCCCCCGCCCCCTTTGCCTCGGGGGCTGCTACTATTGTGCCGTTTGTCAACCCTCTTCAACCCCTAATCCGAACGGTCCCCATCACCCCCCCCGATAGGGTAGGGAGTACATCTTTGGGGTCCCTTTGGCAAAGTAATGAGGGACGATTTGCCATCGGTGATCGGCCCTGTGGGAACGAACGATGCTCTGTCGAGGACGCGTGGTCGATGGTCTGACAGCTGAACTGAAGAATTGACAACATCAGTACACCGTCCTCCCCGCCCCCCTCCGGAGAGCAAACGCGAGGATGATGACCAAATTCTGGTTGGTCCGTGTGCAAGGTAGCCTGGGCCGGCGAAAACCCGGCATACACCTTCGTCCCGGCATGGTAGGGATGCGAGGTCATTGATCTAACAACCAAGGGCATGCGTTTACGTCACCCCCCCCCCCCCCCCCC